GGATGTGTGGAGCCCAAGTACATAGGGAGGGTTGCAAAAGTGGCCACCAACTTGCGCCTGGCCAGTGCGGGACTATTAATGTGAGTGATGCATGGGTGCGTTGTGCATGGTGGAGGACGGCTGGGACCAGTTGGGGTGGGGGGAAGGCGAAGTTGTTTTCGGCTGTCCATGCGATCGAGAACGCATCAACTGCGATGGCTTCCGGGTGGGGGATCTTGGTGCAAAAGCGCGAGAGTTGGGTGTTGTGAGAGTTTGCAAAGAGGTCGATGGAATGCGGACCCCAACGACGTTCTAAGATGCGAAACCACGGCTTCTTCAACGCGTAGTCGTCGTGGTCGACCATTTTTGAAAGCTCGTCAGCATGTGAGTTGAGCTCTCGCGGGATCCATTCAATGATCAAGCGCGTGCCGAGCCCCATGCATGTTCGGATGATGCTTTTGCAAGCCATTGTGAGGTCAGAGCTGTGAGAGCCGCCTTTGCGAAGGATGAAGAATACGCCCTGGTTGTCCACCCGCACGAGAACGTGTTTTTGCTTGATCTTGTTGGCGTACGTTTGGAGCGCCCAAAGGACGCCTTCGATCTCCCGCCGCGTGCTGGACGTTGCCTGTAGTGGCTCTGACATGGTTGCGCTCGCTTCTTCGAGGCCACCCGGAAATGTAGTTAGAGTGGCGCCCCAACCATGAGAGCTGGCATCCACATGAATTACCGCATCGTAGCTGTTCCGGACGTGGAAAGGTGCACCGTTGAACCGGTCGAACTCCTCAAGCCAAAAGTGTAGCTCCTCTGCTGCGGCTGGGGGGATGACCACGTTGCTTTTCCATGACGGTGCGTCGTTGATTACTTGTAATATGGCGTGGCTGAATGCGCGAGCGGTCGCGCCAAGTGCGACCCCCATTGATGCGAGCATGCCTGTGATTCTGGCCACGTGGCGGACCGGGACTGGTCGGCATGCCTTGCTTGCGCTCAGGAGGTTTTGGATGGTTGCATGTAGTGAGGCTCGTCGGTCGGGACCGATGGAGAATCGACCGGTATCGGTTTCCAGCTCTACACCCAAAAATCGTAGGCGTTGCGATGGTGACAGCTGTGATTTCTTCGCGTTTATCACGAGTCCTGCCTCTTTAAGGTCCAATATCACACGCTGGCAGATCGCTTGCGCATGGTCTTTCGACTGACAGAGGAATAAGATGTCGTCCACGTAAGGGATGACTCGGATGCCTTGTTCTCGCCAGCGCCGAGCCAGTTGCTTGATGAGCTGCGTGAAGACGAATGGAGCTGTCGCGAGGCCAAATGGCAGTGAACGAAATGCGTACGTGCGCCTCCCAAATTCGAAGCCGAGGAACTTCCAGCATGATGGGTGGATGTCGATGTGGTGGTAACCGGATTTAAGGTCAATGGAGAACATCCAATCCCCAACGCGTGCCAGGTCCGCCACGCGGTTGAGCCCCTCGTACTTGAACTTGGGGACGATTAAGCTTGCGTTGACTTTCCGCAGATCAAGAATGAGTCTGCATTTGTCTTTTTGCTCGACCACATTGAGTGGACTTATACACGTCAGCTCCGTTGCGGGCATCTGGACTGCTGCTCCGGTCTCTAGGAGTTCTTGGATAGCGGTACGCGTGAACGTAGCATGCGTGTTTGCCCCGACATGGTTGCGATCGTGGAAGGGTTGTGGTGGGCCGTGGCTCCATGGTAGCCAATAACCCCTGGCGATGACGGAAAGGACGAGGCTGCAGGGACACCAGGAGCTCCACCACGCAAAGGTCGCACGAAGTCGACCGCGCATTTGTGTAATGGTTTTGTCCGTGACGGCAAATTCATACGGATCGTCGTAACATACCGCCTCGCACTGTCGTGCTCCTGTAATTGAGGCAAATGGGGTAGGGTTGGGAGTTCCATTTGACGCATGCATGTGCGTGTGCATGTACGCGCAATCGTTGATCAATGGTGTGAATGAGATTGCCTATCTATCGAAAGGACAACAAATATGTCGTGCGCGCGCCGACGCTTCTTCTTCTTCTTGGTTTTTTTTTTTTTTTTTTTTTTTTGCTCCATGGGCACCCTGATCATGGTAGGCAAGTAGGTGTCACTCTCTGGACCCCCTCCTCTTTTTTTTTTTTTTTTTTTTTTTTTTTTTTTGTCTCATCTAGCACTGTGGCTAGCCCTTTTTCCGATACATCACATCGCGCTTTTTTTTTTTTTTTTTGCTCGCCTTGTCATCCACTTGGTAAGACGTGGTTGTGCATGCCTTTAGTGCATGTGGGCTGGTGCTTTGAACCATGGACATGCGTGTCCACCGTGCTTTGTCTTGTTCTCTCTCTCTCTCTCTCTCTCTCTCTCTCTCTCTCTCTCTCTCTCTCTCTCTCTCTCTCTCTCTCTCTCTCTCTCTCTCTCTCTCTTCCTCTCTCTCTCTCATGCTCTGCACCTCCTCTGTGTGTCTAGAGGCTCTTTGCAAAATAGTAAAACAGGAACTTTTTATTAAATCAACCAACACACATTGCAATGCTTCCTAGCATTCATCACCCCACCGGGTGGCCAAATACATGGGACCGAGGGGTTGTTGTTCCCCTTCCCTATCCTAGGCCCAAAGCCTATTACTACCCTTCACTAGGGCTGGCCTCTTGCCATCGCAAACCCCTAGGGCTGCCCACGGTTTCCGCACTCAAGAGTGCACCGTGCCTAGCGCCCAAGGCGCCTAATCCCTTGGCCCGCTCCTACACCACCGGAGCGGGTCCTTGGCCGCCATGCCCGTTCCTAGGGCAGGCACTTGCCACATGTCCCGGCTGGCCGCAGCGGAAGCACGAGCCCCGAAACCCACGACAATTGGCCGTGGGCGGGGGGGCCCGCTTGGGTAAGAACGGCATCGGCCCGTTGTTTCCGCGCGGGTGACACGAGCGTATGCACTTGCCGCGCGGTCCATTGCAGCCATATCCGCGACCGCCTGCTTGAAGGGTCGAGAGGTCAGCAGGCTCTTCTGCTGGTACAGTTTGAAGCGTTTCGCCGTGCGGAAGTCGGAAGCGTCCTCCACTTGAAGCACCTCGAAACGCCCCGAGATGAGGTTGAGCGCGTGTGAGATGAGTTCGAGTCCGCCCGCCGAGTCGCCTCCTTGTATTCCGCGTGTAGCAGGTACGCACGCAAGTCCTCCAGCAGCTCCGCTTGCTCTCGCACAGAGTCGTTGACGAAAGTCGCCGCCGAAAAGGTGAGGTTAGAAGAAGGAAGGGGGGGGAGGTTTTCCGTGCCAATAAAATTAGCAGTGTTGACTGGAGCCTCACCAGCTTCATCTTCAGAGTCGTCGGTGTCGTTGTCGACCGCCGGAGCAGGGGGAGCGGCTGTCGCTGCGTCGTTGTCATGCCGGTTCGTACGTGCTCCTCGCGTGCCTTTTTCCTTTTTCGCGTTTTCTTTTTTAGCCGACGCAGATGCAGCGGGTAGTGCAGTTTCCGCAGCTGTAACGCTGACGGGCTGCTGCTGTAGAAGGGATAGCAGCGCGTTGACCTGGTCCGGGGTCAACGCCTGCGTCAGTGCAGGGGCGGTCGTCGCGTCAGACGAGGAGACCGCAGTCCGCCTCCTCTGGCGCTGACGCGACGGTCCAGCCGCGGGTGCTGGCGTGTGCTCGGCGTCAGGTGCGTGTGCCGCGCCAGCTGCCGTCGCCACTTGCGCCGCAGGTGCCACAGGCGCCACTGGCGCCACTGGCGCCACAGGGGCCGAAGGGTGCTGCTGGGCGTCGGCACTTTTGTTGACCTCGAGCCCGCCCAGCAGCACGTCCACTGCAGTCGGGGCGGGCGGTCCATCTTCTGCCCGGCGCTTGTTACGGCGGTCGCCCGCAAAATCGCGGGTGTTACGGTCGGAGTCGGAAGCGGGGTTGGACGAGTTCCCGTTGTTAAGTGTCGTCGTCGGTGCCATCGTTGATCGATTGAAGTTAAAAATGTCGCTAAGTAAAGTCGAGGGTGACTCGCCTCTAGGAAGCGATTTTGTTCTAGCCAGCTTGGAAGGAGAGAAAGACTACGTGAGCGGAAATGTTGAGTGAGCCGTTTGAAATAGAGAAACGTGGGTGGAGGGAAATGAGCTCCAACCCACGGTTTTTGTAGTTGGAGAAGGGCGTTTAACGCGCTTCGACGATGCCAATTGTGCAGTACAAGCAGCTTCGCTTTCACAATACACAATTTTAAAAAACACAATGTGTGTTTAAAAATTATAATTTCAGGGAGTCAGAACTGGTTGTAACGAATAGGTCGGTCATAACAGCTGGTTTCTGCCAAATGGTGGCAGACCCAGCAGGATTCTAGTGTGCCGGACTGGACTACAGAAGAATGCGAGCCACTTCGTTTCAACATAGCTACCTTGGTCTATGAATGTGACATGATTACTATTCAATTACGCGACAGTATGGCTCTGCACTCGCAGCACTGACCCGACACTGAACCCGTTCTGGTCGCGTCGACCTAAAACGCCAATAATCAGTTACAGGTTCACAGAAATGGACGGCTTTGATGATAATCCGTTCGCCACAGGCGACGACGCTCAGCCGTTCGTTGCTGAAGCCCGCAGGCACGCAATTCCCCGTCAACCCGTTCTCATTGCCACCCGAGACTCTTGTACCCGTTAAGAAGTACACCGGCACCAGCGCTAGTACCAGGGTCACGGACGCGAGAAGTACTACGAATAGCAGCACCGCAGATTCCGCTCGGTCCTCGGCAATCCCTGAGGATTGGCTTGATTCGTGGACTGGAGTGAGCTCATCCGCTTCAGCCTCCTCTTCAGTCACATCCACAGCCTCTGCTGCGAGCAGAAGCACAACCGGAACTTCCGCTACAAGCACATCGCCTTTTGCTGCTGCAGACGCCTTTGGTTCTTCCAATTCTAGCTCAGCAACTCATCTCGACGGAAAACGAGCTGATGCTTTTCCACCAAATGCAACCGGAGTACTCGGTACAGGCACATTCGCTAGTGGATCCGAGCCCCAGTTACAGTCACAAATTGATCCTTTGGCAGCGGCACAGCTAGCCATGGGTTTTCTTCGAGTGGTGCACGGGGCTTCTGGCGTTGGGGGAGCGGTGGGAACTGCTGTAGCCGGACAAACAGGAGGAGCTGCCACGGCACATCCTTCCACGTCAGCAGCAGGTGCCCCGGTTTCCACGTCAGCAGCAAAGGTTCCTATTGCTGCCTCAGCAACAGCAGCAGGAGCAGCAGCAGCAGCAGCAGCAGGGACAAAGAGAGATGGGAAAGAAGCCACAGCGGATCCGTTTGCTTTTCTAGACAACACTCCACTGGGGGTTACCAGTAGCATTTCTTCAAAAGACACCAGCGCCAGCTTTTCAGAACAGAACCAGCAGAAGGATGATGTCTTTGGATTTGATTCATCCCCGTTTGTGGCATCCTCGTCACCATTATTCGGCTTTGATACTCCCAGCTTGCCTCCTGACCCAGAGCTTGCATCAGACCCCTTCTGGACCTCGATATCGTCACAACCCCCCACAGTCTCGTCACAACGCCCCTCGTTATTGTCACAGGACCCCTTCGTCAGTCCAAATTCAAACAGTACCTTCCTCCCCACTGGAAGGACTGACTCTGCGCCGCGTCCTCTCATGGACCTCTTGGGAGAGCCTCTGGTCGAACCCAGAAACTCTTATTCTACTACTGCTGCTGCTACCACTGCTGCTGCTGGTGATGGTTTTCGTGGAAGTGGCGGTGCTGCTGTGGCGGCGGCTGCTCCTGCTGCTGCTACCAAGCAGGAGGTTCCAGTGGACACGGCTCACGACTTGTCCTTCCTTGAACGTCTCTCTGTGCCCCCTGCTCCTACTTCTGCTGCACCCATGGTGGAAAAGTCTGGTTTTGCTGACGCTGCTGCTGGTGCTGCTGCTGCTGGTGCTGGTGCTTCTGTTGCTGCTGCTAGTGGTGCCAGTTTCGATGGATTTGGGGACTTCTCGGACCTTGGTCTGCCTGCAGTTGTCGTCCCTGCTTCTGCTTCTGCCGCGCCTTCTTCTGCTGCTGCACCTGCTGTTGCTGCTGCTTCTGCCGTTCCTGCTGCCGCAGAGCCTCTCTTTCCTGCCTTCCAGACTGCTTATGACTCAACCCCAGCACAGCTAGCTCAGCAGGAGGGGAAGAGGCAGGAGAAGAGGGAGGGGAAAAAAGAGACAGGAAAGGCAGAGGTGGGAAGCAACCAACAGGGAGGACGAGACAAAAATAACGACACCAGCAGGGCTGGAGGCGATGACGGCACCAGCAGCCCCGTGCTGACGTCATCGTCATCTCCTGCTACCATCGTTGAGTCGAAGTATATCCCCTCCCTTCCCCCCGTGGAGTACTACGGCCCTGCAGGGAAGCTTCCCAGAACCATCTTTGATGCGCCCACGCGAATGCCTGTTGACCCGAACCGGCCGGTTCCGCTCGTGGTGTGCCCCAAGCCTAGGGGAGAGGCTCGGCCAGAGGTTCGGGCAGGGGAAGGAAGGGGGAGGGAGGGCGGAAAGGCATCCCCATCTGCTGCAGTGTCTGCCCCTGGGGCCTCCGGTTTTGCCTCCGGTTTTACCACTCCTCCCTTGCCTTACTCCTCCTCTCAATCCTCATCCTCGTCTTTCTTGTCCTCTTCCCCGCCTCTATCCTCGTTACTAGCCGTTCCGCAATCGTCATCGCTATCTGCGTCTCTTTCCGCGTCTTCCGACCTATCACCCATGTCGTCCTCGTCGTCGCTACTGCCACATTCGTCGTCCTCCTCCTTGCCATCGCCATCACCAGCAGCAGCAGCAGCAACAGCGGCAGCAGCGGAAGCAGCAGCAGCAGCAGCAGTGGCGGCAGCGGAAGCGAATCTCACAGGGCCAGATGCGGGTGGCAAGGGTTGTCTGCTTGTGGCGGTGGGGAGTGTGGCGGTGTGCGTGACTGATGACGGTCTGAGGGCATGGGACCAAGGTGCAAAAAAACGGCCGAAACTTTGAAATTTCGGCGTAAAAAACGGTATCGTAGTTTTCGGTCGTAAAAAACGGTTTAAAACGGTAAAACCATGTCATTTTGTGCTGGTGCAAAAAAACGGCCGTTTTTTTCGACCGAAACTTTGAAACCATCGTTGTAACTCATAATTAGTGGATTTTTAAAGGGGATAGGAATTGCTTGCCGTTTTCACTGTCGATTTCCGACATGCGGCTCGTTGAATTTTCTCGAGCCGCGAATTCAGTCTGAACCGAGTCGCGCATTTCAACATTTGACGACAGGATTACATGTTTCGCCACATGCGGACCGTTTTCGCGCCAGCTGACAATGTGTTTTCTCGCATACAGAGGGTGTCGCAATTTTCGCGCAATGCTAATGCAAAGCGCGACCAATCAGAACACCCCCACAGTGTTGGTCGAGTCGCCCCGAATGCAGCATTTCGCGATCGCGAACCGAAGACATTACCCGCTTCGTTAATTTTTTCAAATTTTCGCGCTAGAAGCGAAAATGTTTCGCGCATGCGGGGTGTGTCGCAAAGCGCATGCCACTCGAGAGTCGCGACCAATCACAGCAGCCCAAGCCCAATCTTCCGAAGTGAGTTGCTCATCCTCAACTCGACAATGCACTTCAGCTCCCGAAGTACAAAGAGGCTCTGTCCAGGGCCTCTTAACTCATAGCCACTGAGGCTATTCCAGCACTCTCTCTATCAGATTAGCCACCCCAAGCCTTGCACCATGGTTCGACCGCAGTCACGCTATTGGCTGCACGTTAGGAAAGAGACGGCGGAAGATGGTACAATCACTAGCTGCGTGTGCCTTCACTGTCATTTGCCGGTAACCCCAAACGCAACTAGAATTGGGGAGCACCTTTTAGGCACTCCAAGCTCCAAGCATAAGAACATAGCGATCTGCGAATCAGATTATGCGAAGCAGCTGCGAGCGTCGTCCGTCGAGGAGCGTTCGTCCTTCGAAGACGGCTCTAATGGAGCGTCTACGTCCACTATGGAGGTGCAGTTACCCCGGCGCTCACGGCAGCGGGACATTCGGGAGATGGCCGACGTGACAGCGCGCGGACGCTTGGACTACCTGTGGGCGGCTGCTGTGGCGGAAAACGACCTGGCGTTTAGGACGTCTTCGTCTAAGGCGATGCAAGCGTTTGTGGATGCAATCGCCGCATTCGGGAAGGCCTACACCTTACCTTCGGCATACAAGGTGGCGGGCCCACTTCTTGTCAAGTTGAAGCTCGACACGGAGGAGCTCATCAAGCCAATCAAAGAGAGTTGGCCGAGAAGCGGATGCACCCTCACGATGGACGGTTGGACGTGCCTCAAAAGCCGGGGCATGATTTGCGTCATCGCCCAAAAGGACACCGCGCCTGTGATTGTGGACTGCGTCGACTCCAAAACCGCGAAGAAAACTGGAGAGTACCTCGCGAAGCTCATCCAACATGCGATTTGCGAGGTGGGGGACAGCCACGTTGTCCAAGTCGTCATGGACAACGCGGCTAACAACAAGCGCGCGGCAAACTTGCTCAAGGACGAGTACCCGCAAGTCTTCTTCACCAATTGTGCGGCCCACGTCTTGGACCTCATGCTTCACGATATGGGGAAGGTCAAGGCGGTGAAGAGGGTCCTCAATCAGGTGCATCGGGTTGTGATGATGGTCAAGGGGAGTGCCTCGGCCGTCACACTTTTCCGTGAGTTGTTTAGCAAGCTAGCGCTTGTCCGCCCTGGTGCTACTCGTTTTGGAACGCAAGTGATCATGATCGAGCGTTTCCTTGAGGTTAAAAAGGCATTGAAGGAGATGGTGATTAGTGAGGAGTGGAAAAGTGTAGCGGTGGCGAACACGGAGGAGGGGCAGGCTATACGTGGTCTCCTCTTGGAGGAGACGTTTTGGGACTCCGTCACGGCCATTCTCGGCCTCATGAAGCCCATCTACGAGGTGCTACGCATCGTTGACCGGCGGTCCCTTGTGATGGGGAGCGTCTACGGCCTCATGCTTGAGGCTACGGTCAAGACCAACGAAGCGGCAACGAAGGCGGGTAAGTTCAATGTATTAGACATATGAATCAATTAGTTCAACGATTCTGTCCCTACCCTACACCAGCCACTCCGACGCTATTACTCACCATGAATTTGTTGCTCTTACCGCGTGCGCAGCTGCCCAACTCTCCAAGAAAACCGGTTTGCTTCCGGGAAACGAGAAGGCCGCGTTTCTTGCTGCGTTTAAGGCTATCATAGCCAACCGATGGGACGGACAGCTGCACAACCCCCTCCACGCCTTGGGGTGGCTTCTAAACCCGAAGAATCAGTACGTAGGCGAGATTCGGGAGGATGCGGAACTGAGGGCGGGGGCTGAAGAGGTGTTTAAGGCAAGGGGGGGTAGTGTTGAGATGCGGACGATGCTAGCGGTGCAACTAGCCGCTTTTCACAAGGGAGAGGGGAAGTTGGGGTCTGTGGATGCGCGGTGGGCTGCCACCATCTTGGTGGAGAGCGGGAGGCTCTCCGCGGCTGAGTGGTGGGCGCTGTATGGGGGTGAGGTTCGTGCTTTGCAAAAGATTGCGGTGATGTTGCTCTCCCAGCCCGTGACTTCATCCGAGGTCGAGCGGTACTGGTCCGCTCTCGCAAGGGTCCAAAGGCGGGACCGCAACCGGCTGAATGCCACGTCCATGACGGACGTGGCATTCGTGGCATTTGGCGGCGAGCTCGGGAGTCCTATGACAAAAAAACAGAGGCCCGTGCTAAGCTCTACAGCGAGTTGAGCAATGGATCGCTGCAGGAGGGCAGCACAAGCGTGCTTCTTTCTCTTCCGGTGGAGGCGGAGGTGGATGAGGAGGAGGAGGCGGGGGGGGAGCCGTGTACCATTGACTGGGACACCTTCGGGAACATTGGCAAGCGGGTGACCAAAAGGAAGCGCGCAAATCTGAAGAAGAAGAAGAGTGCTTCCAAGGGCAGCGGGTCCCGCAAGGGGAAGGAGAAGGTTTGTGAGGAAGAGGAAGAAGAGGCGGAGGATGGGAGCAGTGATGATGACAGTGGTCCGGATGAACCAACCAAGCGGAAGAACAAGGGGGTGAATGCGTGGGATTGTAGCGACGGGAGTAGCGGGGAGGAGGAGGATGACGAGGAGGATGAGGAAGAGGAGGAGGATTAGGACTAAGTAGGAGGAGGGGGCTGAAGGATAACTTATCGGTAAGTGGAGGGGGCTGAAGGGTAAGGACTAGATCAGAGGAGGGGGCTGAAGGATAAGGACTAGGTAAGAGGGGGTAGAAGGAGTAGGAGTAGGTAGTTAGGAGGAAGGAGGAGGGACCTGACTGTGTTTGCTCATTTCTGACTAGTTTTTAGCATGTTACTTTCCGTTTGTATGCTGCCCTGTTCTGGAATCATCTATGAACCCTTTCTGTTTTTTTTTTTTTGGCACAAAAATCTCCAACAAAAAAACGGCCGAAATTTTGAAAAAACAGCGTAAAAAACGAGCGTTTTAAACGGAGCGTATTTTACCCCAACCGAAATTTTGAACCTTGCATGGGACATGCGGCAGGCCATGCTACCTGATGCAGCAGGAGGGGGAGCAGTAGGAGCAGACAAACAAGGATCACCAGGAGCAGACAAAGCAGGAGCAACAGGAGAATGCAAAGCAGGAGCTCCAGGGGGATTTGACACAGCAGTGGCAGGAGCAGCAGATTTTGAAGGCATAGCACCAAAGAATACGGAATATTCACAGTTGAAGAGACCATTAAAGCCCCTTTCTCGCCTGGGTTCTGACGCTGCCCCGTTTGTCTTTGTGCCGTTACGAGGCCTGGCAGCCCGAGCCAAGAGCATAGCCTCGGACGACAGGCTCGGCGTGGTGTTCACAGGGCACAAGGACGGGCGCATGCTTGTATGGAGGGTGCTATTAGGGAGGGGGACAAAGGGAACAGATGGAGGCACAGGAGGAGGAACAGTAGGAGAGAAAGGGGTCAAGAAAGGGTTGGGAATTGGGTTGCGGGATCCTGGAGTGCAGGTGGCATTGGTGGCGGACTGGCAGGCCCATACAGCCACTGTGACTGCTTTAGTCATTTCTCCCTATGGTGGGTATCCCCTCCCTAGGCTTCGTATGTATTCAAGAGTTAGTAACACGCCTGAAACGTAACAGAGTACTCAGAGAGTTCTCAGAACACGCCTAAATCCATCTCATTGCACTCATCCTCTTCTCTTCTCCCCCCCAGTGGCATTGGTAGGCGAGCTGTGGTCGGCTGGTAGTCGTCTTTCATGGTGTATTCTGATGACGGCGGTTTTCTAGTCAAAATGCCTGAAACTACCCACCTTATTACGCCCCTCTTCCCCCACCTGCATGGCACTGGCAGGCGAGCTGTGGTCGGCAGGTGATCGTGGCATCATTAAGGCATGGACCCGCCTCTCCCGCAGCAACGAGATTCACCGAGCCATGCACCAACAGGAGGAGAGATTCTACTGGGTTGTTGCGCCTGACTGATGGGCTCACACCCCCCTCTTCTCTTCCCCCACTCAACCCCATGGCATGGGCAGGCGAGCTGTGGTCGGCGGGTGATCGTGGCATCATCAAGGCATGGTCCCGCCTATCCCTCACCAACGAGCTTCACCGAGCCATTCACGAACTAGAGGAGGGTTGTTGTGCCGGACTGAGGAGTTTACACACCCCTCTTCTCCCCATCCCCAACCCCAACCCCGTGGCATGGGCAGGCGAGGTGTGGTCGGCGGGTGATCGGGGCATCATCAAGGCATGGTCCCGCCTCTCCCTCACCAACGAGCTTCACCGAGCCATTGACGGTCTAGAGGAGGGTTGGTTTGCCTGACTGAGGAGCTCACACACCCCTCTTCTCCCCCTCTCGAACCCCACCCAACCCCGTGGCATGGGCAGGCGAGGTGTGGTCGGCGGGTGATCGGGGCATCATCAAGGCATGGTCCCGCCTCTCCCTCACCAACGAGCTTCACCGAGCCATTGACGGTCTAGAGGAGGGTTGGTTTGCCTGACTGAGGAGCTCACACACCCCTCTTCTCCCCCTCTCGAACCCCACCCAACCCCGTGGCATGGGCAGGCGAGGTGTGGTCGGCGGGTGATCGGGGCATCATCAAGGCATGGTCCCGCCTCTCCCTCACCAACGAGATTCGCCGAGCCATGCAGCAACTAGACGAGGGACTGGATGAGGGGAGGGAGGAGAGGAGGTGTAGGCCAATAGCATCAGATCTGCAGCAGCAGCAGCAGCAGAATGCTGACGTGGCAGATGCGGCTGTGGCGGTCCGCATCAGCCCTGCCTGCGTGGAGCTTCGGCAGCACCGAGCCTCGTCAGGCTCGGCGGCGGCCGAGCAGGCTCGGAATGACATGGGGGGAGTTCACGACTCCAGCAATCTAAGAGGATACGGTGGGATCAGTAGTAGCAGTAACGAAAACCGCACAAGCTATGACCCTGCTACTGCCAATGCTGCTGCCGCTGCCACTGGTGGTGCTGGCGTTGGTGCTGCTGGCTCCGGCTCTGGTGCTGGTGCTGGCAATAGCACTGGGACTTCACCCAGGGCACTATCACCTATTTCTGAGAGCATGTCAGCTCTACCGCCGCCTAACGTTTCAACCGCGCGAGGAGCTGTGAGGGTGATGGTGGCAGGTGCGGCGAATGGATGGGTGTGGACGGCTGGGCCTGCGTCTGCATGCATCTGGTGAGCCTCATCCCACCCCTTCACTCATTCAACCATTCAACCATTCACCCAGGGCACTATCACCTGTACCTGAGAGCATTCCACCTTTGCCGCCGCCTATGCAACCGTGCGAGGAGCTGTGAGGGTGATGGTGGCAGATGCGGCGAATGGATGGGTGTGGACGGCTGGGCCTGCGTCTGCATGCATCTGGTGAGCCTCATCCCACCCCTTCACTCATTCAACCATTCAACCATTCAACCATTCAACCATTCAACCATTCAACCATTCACCCAGGGCACTATCACCTGTACCTGAGAGCATTCCACCTTTGCCGCCGCCTATGCAACTGTGCGAGGAGCTGTGAGGGTGATGGTGGCAGATGCGGCTACTGGCTGGGTGTGGACGGCTGGGCCTGCCTCTGCATGCATCTGGTGAGCTGAGCTTCATTCATTTACCCTCTTTCAACCTCTTGAGCATCATGGGGTGGGGTGGCGTGCGGTGAGGTGGGGAGGGATGGGGTGTCATTGATTGTGTGTCAACTGGAAAAGCTACTGGCTGGGTGTGGTCTGCTGGGCCTGCCGCTGCATGCATCTTGTGAGCTTCATTCATTCACCCTTTTCCCCCTTGTCAGCATCGTGGGAAACGTTTGCATGCTTTGCGTGCCATGCCGTGCTGGTCTATCTCTCTTATTTCCTTCCCATTCCCATTCCCTTCCTCGACATTCACAGGGACGAAAGAAGGAAGAGGTCACCAAGCTCTCTCCTCCCTACCACACTGCATCTCTCAACACCTTTCCGATACCCCTCTCCACCCCTTCGTATCCCTCTGCACGCCCCTCTTTCCCCTTGACAGGGACGCAAGAAAAAAAGAGCTCATTCGAGCTCTCTCCTCCCTCTCAGACCCGAGCGCATACGAAGAACCTTCCAGGAGCTTTCCTCCCCGCGGTAACTCAACAGCAGCAAGCAGCAGTGACGTCAGCATCATCAGCAGCAGTAGTATTAATAGCAGCAGCAGCACATTTAGCAATCCAACTGGTGGTGGGGGTAATAGTACTCGAGACAGGCATATGGAAGGCGCGTGGAAACTTTTAGCTAAGTCCCGGGAAGTGCTGGGGAAAGCTAAGGGGGCAGTGACTGATGCTGTAAGAGCGGCAGCAGCAGCAGGGAAAGGAGAGGAGTACTTAAGTGGCGGTGGTGGTAGTGGTGGTATTGACGATTTGGATACGAGTGGTAGCGGTGGTAGCAGCACCACCTTTTCCTCTCCGTCCCCAGCAGTAAGAGTCTCAGGGGGGTCTTTGAGAAAGCTCCAAGCGGCAACTGCTGTGGGTGATGGCTCGGTCTGGTTTGGGTTCAGGTCCGGCGCGCTGGTTCGGATCGACAGGTCCGGGGCGAGGCTGCAGGAGGTAGGGTTGGATGCGGGAGTGTGCTGTCTCTGTGTTGTGGGTTTGAGGCTTTGGGTGGGGATGGCGGATGGGGGTATAGTGGTTCTGGGGGTGAGAAATGGGAGGAGATTAGGGGGGTGGCCTGGTGTGCAGCGGCTGAGTCGCAAGCAGCAGCTGCAGCTGCAGCAGTATCAGCAACAGCAGCAGCAACAGCAGCAGCAGCAGCAGAAGCAGCAGCAGCAGCAGCAGCAGTTTCAGCAGTACCAGCAGCAGCAGGAGCAGGATCAGAAGGAACGAATCAGGGGGCCAATGCTGTTAGAAGGGCGTCAGGACGGGTTTGCACGCCCAGATGACAGCAGGAATGGGGAAAGCTATGGGGTAACCAGCAGAGGAATCAGCGCGGAAAGCAGTGAGGGGAGCAGTGGTATCACGCGCATGAGTGGCAGCCAGGGCATTTCTGGTCTTCCTCCCATTCGCCAGCTAATGCCTTTCACGCTTGGCCTGATTTCCCAAGGTACTATCAGCAATAGTAGTAGCAGCAGCAGCAGCAGTGGTGACAGCAGCAGCTACAGTACCACCACAACGGTGGGCCAGTTTGTCTTATCCGTCGCAAAAAACGGCGAAGTTTCAGCCTGGCCCTCCGCCCTCCCGTCGCCGCCCATAGAATCCGCACTGCACGCCGCCCTCGCCGCCCAATCCCAGGCGTTCACTAAAAGACGAAAGCTGCAAGTGGCAACTGGTACCTGGAACGTGGGGGAGGAGAAACCTGACGGGGAGACTGTTCAGGCTTGGCTGGGGGAGGTGGCTAGAGGGGCGGATGTGGTTGCAGTGGGTTTGCAAGAGGTTGAGATGGGTGCGAGGGCCATTGCCCTTGCTGCTGCAAAGGAATCGGTTGGGATGGGTTTGCAGGAGAAAGAGAGCGGTGCTGCGCAGGAGTGGACTGCGGTTATTCGCAAGGCCCTTGCTGCTGCTGCTGGTTCTGCTGGCTCTTCTGGTGGTGCTTCTGCTGCTGCTTCTGCTGCTGGTTCCTCTGATCCTTCCTCTATCTCTGCCCCCTCCTCTTCCTCCTCTGCTGCTGCTGCCTGTGCGGATGATGGGTTTGTGCGAATCGCGTCGCGACAGCTGGCGGGCATGCTGCTGACTGTCTGGTAAGATAGGTGGCATTCGTGGTCGTCAATCTAAAAATTCCATTCCTGTGGTTTGAAGCCTGTTCTTGCTACTTTTATGAGAGCTCTCAAAAATTGCGCCTTCCGAACATATCTGGCGTCCATGCAAACGTGTGGGATGCTCCAGGTGCCTCAATAATCTTCTCTCTGCATTTCTACTGCATCCTGCCCTGCTCTGTTTCTCACCTCACCAACAGGGTGCGCGAGTCTCTCCTTCCGGACATATCTGACGTCGAGACGGGAGCCTTGACATATTCGAGATGCCAGTAATCTTCTCTGTGCCTTCCTACTGCATCTCACTTAACCTCACTGTTTCTCTCCAACAGGGTGCGCGAGTCTCTCCTTCCGGACATATCTGACGTTGAGACGGGGGCCGTGGCGTGCGGATTCGGCCGAGCGCTTGGCAACAAGGTGAGGTGTTAAGTCCTCTTAATAAGCATGCTACAGGTGGGCTACAGGTGGGCTACAGGTGGGCTACAGGTGGGCTACAGGTGGGCTACAGGTGGGCTACAGGTGGGCTACAGGTGGCTTGTGCGTAAGTCTTCCGCGTGCAATCATCAACTGCCACCTGGCAGCGCACGACAGCGCACACTTTATCCCATGTTATCCCTTATTATTCCATACTATCCCTTATTGTTGCATATTATTGAACACGTTTTGAGCAGGGAGGGGTGGGGGTGCGCATGACAGTATGCGGGCGCGTCTGTGCAATCATCAACTGCCACCTGGCGGCACACGATAACGCGACAGCTAAGCGGAACGAGGACTGGCATCGCATCTACACAACTATGGAATTCGGGCGATCCATGGGGACCGTTGGCACTGCCGCCACCAATGCTGCCAAGGCAGCTGGAGGTAGGGTTGGGGGGGAGTGGGCGGGGCCAACATGACTGCCAACGTGTAGTGAGTCGATTTTTTAGTCGACTCAAAAATCGACTCACTACACGAGGAAGGGTTGGGGGGGAGCGGGCGGGGCCAACATGACTGCCAAGCGAAACGAGGACTGGCAGGGCATCTACTTGAGAACGGAGTTTGGGCGATCCATGGGGACTGTGGGCACTGCTGCCACCAACGCTGCCAAGGCTGCTGGAGGTGAGTTGACGGATGGAGGAGAAGAGAGGGAACGGTTTTCTGTTCAAGGTGGGTAAAAGGAGTACTGGCATGGCATGGCGTGGCATGGCGTGGCGTGGCATTCACACGAGCATGGAGTTTGGCTATCCATGGAGTTTGGCTATCCATGGAGTTTGGCTATCCATGGAGTTTGGCTATCCATGGAGTTTGGCTATCCATGGAGTTTGGCTATCCATGGAGTTTGGCTATCCATGGAGTTTGGCTATCCATGGAGTTTGGCTATCCATGGAGTTTGGCTATCCATGGAGTTTGGCTATCCATGGAGTTTGGCTATCCATGGAGTTTGGCTATCCATGGAGTTTGGCTATCCATGGAGTTTGGCTATCCATGGAGTTTGGCTATCCATGGAGTTTGGCTATCCATGGAGTTTGGCTATCCATGGAGTTTGGCTATCCATGGAGTTTGGCTATCCATGGAGTTTGGCTATCCATGGAGTTTGGCTATCCATGGAGTTCGGGCAATCCATGGGGACCGTTGGTGCGGCTACGACCAACGCTGCTAAAGCCGCTGGAGTTAAGTTGAGGGTTTTGCAGGAGTAGTGGAAGGAGGGAAGGAGAGAGGGTGTGGTTACGGTTAGGTGGGTGCAAGGAACAAGGAGTGGCATCGCATTTACACAGGCATCGAGTTGGGGGATATATGGGCACTGCTGTGTCTAATGAGACGTGTCAAAAGCTACGGGCACTGCTGCGTGTATTGAGACGTCTCAAAAGCCATGGGCACTGCTGCGTGTATTGAGACGTCTCAAAAGCCATGGGCACTGCTGCGTGTATTGAGACGTCTCAAAAGCCATGGGCACTGCTGCGTGTATTGGTGAAATCCATGTAACGAGGACTGGCATCGCATGTGCACGAGCATGGAGTTTTGGCGATCCATGGGGACCGTTGGCACTGCTGCCACCAACGCTGCCAAGGCTGCTGGAGGTGAGATTAGGCTGGGGGGGAGGAGGAGAGAGGGAGTGGGTGCAAGGAGGACTGGCATTGCATGGCATCTACACGAGCATGGATGGAGTTTGGGCGATGCATGGGGACCGTTGGTACTGCTGCCACCAACGCTGCCAAGGCTGCTGGAGGTAAAAATAAAGGGTGGTTCCTGGGGGGGTTGGGGGAGGGGAGAGGGTGTGGAATGACTGCGTTCGTATTTACACGAGCATGGATTTTGGGCAATCCATGGGGACTGTGGGTACTGCTGCCACAAACGCTGCCAAGGCTGCTGGAGGTAAGAAGAGGCTAAAGGATGGAAGAGGGTGCGTGTGTACGTTGAAGCTCAGTCAGTCAGCTTGCTTTCTTTCTCCTGACTCGTGAGTCAACTTTCTTTCTTTCTCCTGACTCACCCTGTAAAATCTATAAAACGTTTATTCGCCTTTTTTTCCTCTCCCCACCCTCTCCTGCTTCTCCCCACCCACCCCTGCTTCTCCCCAACTACCCCTACTTCTCTCCTCTTGTCGTTTCAGCCGGCTTCCAATCGGCCGTGCAGGGGTTTGTGAAGGCAGCAGGGAGGGGAGTGGGAGCAGGAGGGGCGGCAGGCTTTGTCCCCATCTCCAGCACTCAAGGCACCGATGTGTCGAGCTCTGATTGGCCGAACGCTGCAGCTGGCAACAACAGCATCTCCGGCATTGGAAGCACTGATTCGTATGCTGAGGTGCGTTTTGCGCCGACTCAATGCATCACCACCACCACTGCTACTAACAGCAGCAGCAGCTGGAACAGCGGCAACAACAGCGTCTCCAGCATTGGAATTACTGATTCGTATGCTGAGGTGCGTTTTGCACCGACTCAAGGCATCACTACCATTACTACTAACAGCAGGACTGGCATTGGGAACAGTGATTCTTCATGTTCTGGGGTGCTACCTCCTGCCTTGGCTTCTTTCGGTGTCCCTGGAGGGCAAATCAAGCAACTTACGCTGCAAAAGAATGACATAGAAGAGGAGCAAGAGAACTCCGAATCAGCTCCCTTTCTGAAAGCACATGGCCTTTCTTTGGACGCCACAGAGAAGGCTCCAACTGCATTGAACCATTCCCAGCCCTCATGGGGTTCAGATAAAAAGCTGTCTCATTACCAGCCTGCTGCACCTGACAGTTCTTCTTACTCTTGTCGTTTCTCACACCTGGAGGAGACATCTCCGTACGGAGACCTTGCTTCTGCTCCCGCCGCTACTGCTGCTGCGTGCTGCTGTTGTTGCGTGTGCACCTGCCTGCCTCTGCTTCTCCTTGGCGCCCAGTGAGGTGAATTTTGAGGCGCCTCAAAATTCACCTCACTGCACGCGGATTTCATACGGAGAGGATTATTACAGCTTGGAAGTGTTCGTGTAACTTGCAAAAGTTACTGGTGCGCGCGCGGTTACATCAACGAATTGGTTGACGAAGACCTTCTCGAGGGCTGACTTTGCACCCTGGGTGTACCCCATTTGCTTAGCTGGCCGAGTGACTTGTCACTCTGGGTAGTTGTTTGTACATTTGTAGATCTCGAGGGCAGTTGCTAGCTACTTAGCCTGCTTCTGTCCGAACTCTTTCTTTTGTGGATCTGGTAGCTTACTGATGAAGGCTTAGCGGGTTGGAGACCCGTGAGCCGAAACTAGTTTGAGCTGTAAGGATTCTCGTTAGTGAAGGGTTTTAAGGTTTCTACTGATCGCTTTTCCAGGAAAGTTTTTCTGTTTCGTTTCCTTTTGTTGCTTTAAGCGTCACTCTTTAGAATTGCTGCTCTTCCACTATGAGCGAAGACCCGTGTGCACCTGCCTGCCTCTGCTTCTCCTTGGCGCCCTTTCCTTTGGGTGGCCTGCAACTGCCCTTGCTGCTGCTGCTGCCACAGTTGCTGCCGTGACTGCTGCAGCTGTGCTCGTTTCACCTGCCTCTGTAAGTCTGATTTAAATAAAAAAAAAAAAAATTTACAGACACTTTCAGTGTGCAGTGGTGTAGATGAAAGGTATGCTGTGCTGTAACCACGAGGCAGTACCCGAGCTGCTGCTGCTGCCGCCGCCGCCGCCGTGTGACCAGCTGAAAAGGGAGATGAAAGCATGTGACTAGCTACTGACCTCCCCTCCTCTCCCCTCCCCCCCCCTCCCCTCCTCCCACAGCCCCCCTCCCCTCGCCCTGACCTATCTGAGATTTGGATGGGCGATTTGAACTACCGCCTCGACGGGTGTTCATACGACTGCAAGGGGCAAGTGAAGGCCTCTCACCACCTGCCTCCCTGCCCGACCCCACTTCCCCCTCCCACAGCCCACCTCCCCTCGCCCTGACCTGTCTCAGAGCGATCTGCTCATCTGGATGGGCGATTTGATTGAACTACCGCCTTGATGGCTGTTCCTACGACTGCAAGGGGCAAATGAAGGCCTCTCACCAACTGCCTCCCTGCCCCACCCCGCTTCCCCCTTCCACAGCCCCCCTCCCCTCGCCCTGACGTAGCTCAGAGCGATCTGCTCATCTGGATGGGCGATTTGAACTGCCGCCTCGCTGCAGACCCGATGCAGTACCCGCTGCTGCTGAAGTGCGAATCGCTGCAAGGGGAAATGAAGGCCTGTCACCTCCTGCCTCCCTCCCCTCGCCCCTCCCTTCCCACAGCCTCCTTCCCCTCGCCCTGACCTGGCTCAGAGCGATTTGCTCATCTGGATGGGCGATTTGAACTGCCGCCTCGCTGCAGACCCGATGCAGTACCCGCTGCTGCTGAAGTGCGAATCGCTGCAAGGGGAAATGAAGGCCTGTCACCTCCTGCCTCCCTCCCCTCGCCCCTCCCTTCCCACAGCCTCCTTCCCCTCGCCCTGACTTGGCTCAGAGCGACCTTCTCATTTGGATGGGCGATTTGAACTACCGCCTCGACAGGTGTTCATACGAGGAAGCATGCACTGCCGTGGCAAGGAGGCAGTACTCGCTGCTGCTGGATTGTGATCAGCTGAGAGCGGAGATGAAGGCGGGGAGGGCGTTTGTGGGAATGCAGGAGGGAGCGGTTGACTTTGCCCCGACCTACAAGTTCGACCGTGGGACGTTCAACCCCTTGGGTGAGTGTTTATTTTGCTTGTTGAAAGCGGAGATGAAGACCGGAAGGGCGTTTGTGGGCATGCAGGAGGGGGCGATGGACTTTGCCCCGACCTACAAGTTTGATCGCGGGACGTTCAACCCCCTGGGTGATTCCTATGGTTTTGTTTCCCCGCGTGAGGAGGAACAAAAGATTGCGACCAGCTGAAAGGGGAGATGAAGACCGGAAGGGCGTTTGTGGGCATGCAGGAGGGAGCGGTTGACTTTGCCCCGACCTACAAGTTTGATCGTGGGACGTTCAACCCCCTGGGTGAGTCTTTTCTCTCATTCCCCCTGTAACAGCAAGGGCAGTGGGTGTGGTGTAGATAAGAAGCATGTAGCGCTGTGGCCATGAGTCAGAGGAGGAAGCAGAGGGAGAGGCAGTACCCGCTGCTGCTGGATTGTGATCAGCTGAGGGCGGAGATGAAAGCTGGGAGGGCGTTTGTGGGCATGCAAGAAGGGGGGATTGACTTTGCCCCGACTTTCAACTCCCTGAGTGAGTGCCTGTTCTGCCTGTTGAAAGGGGAGATGAAGGCCGGGTGGGTGTCGTGGGCATGCAGGAGGGAGCGATTGATTTGGCTCAAACTTCAAGAGTTCAATCGTAAGACTCGTGCTGAGTCTCTCAACCCCCTAACTGGGCCTTTGTTCTGGTTCCCCCTGGTGTGTGTTCTCTCTTATTCCTCTCAAAAAATATTGTTCTGCTTCGTCCCATCCCTCCGCTGCCAATCGTCCCTCCCATTTCTCCAGCATACGATTCTGGTGAAAAACGCCGGGTACCTGCCTGGTGCGACCGCATCCTCTTTAGAGACAGCTTCACTAGCAGCAGCGCACCCCAGAGTGGTGAAACAAGCAGGATCGATTCGTCAGGCCCGATAAGGGATGGTGGCGGCGGCAACAGCGGCGTAGCCAAGGGGAGAACCTCTCTCTCGCACCCTGTTTCAGTCGAGGTTCTTCGGTGCGTTCTCGCTCGCTCACGCTCTTGCTCTCTCTCGATTTCTATCTCTTGCTAATGCTCATGCTGCTGCCATGCTACCAACGCCTGTGCTGATGCTGTTTTTGTTTTTCTATCTCTCTCTCTCCCCTGCCCTCTCTCCTTCCCTCCCACCACCCCCAGCTACACATCGTGCATGGCAGCCTTTCAGAGCGATCACAAGCCAGTTACCTCATGCAACTCACCGTCGCCTGCCCTGATGCTGCTGCTCAGAGGTCCCTGGTTACCCGCCTCCTCACATCTCCACTCCTCTCCACCCCTCTCTCCTCCACTACCACCACTAGCCCCGGTAATTCCACCCCTGCCGCTGACCTCCTCTCTTTTACTGCTGAAACCCACCTTCCTGCTAGGAGCAACCCCTCTCCCGCTGCCTCCTCCTTTGAAACTTCCACTTTCTCCTCCCCTCTCGAGGCGCCACAAGATTCGTATCCCCCTCTTTCCTCGCTGCTCAGGCAAATGGCAGCAGCATCTCTCCGTTCCTCCCTCCTTGCATCGGGCACTTGTGTGAGAATAGACCCGATCACGTTAAGAGCTTCGGTCGTGGTGACCAATAAGGGTGATAAGAGCACAGGGCATCCGATGGGGTTTAGAGTGGTATGCGAGGGTGAGGGTGGGTTGAAGGAGGGGGAGGAGGTGGAGGGATGGAATGACGGGGAAAAGAGGGTGGGAGGACTCGGCACTGGTAATGCGATTGGGGTGACTGTAGATGGAGATGTGATTACAACGGGGGGAGGGTCCAGATGTGATTGGCCGATTTGGCTCCAGGTGCAACCTGGTTCAGGTGTGATCTCACCAGGGGAATCTGCTACAGTGGAGTTCACCCTTCGACACTCAGAAGGCGTAGCAACGGCAGAGCAAAACAAAGAAGGCATAAAGCCTGGTAGCAGGGTCAGCACATTGCTTTATGACACGGCAGGCCCTTCTGGTGGCTGTGTGCTTGTAGTGGGGGTGACCACGTGGGGACCCACTGCGTTGACTCTGCAGACGCATAGATTCGGCCTGGTTATCCCACAATTTGTCTAGGGTGGATCCTTTAGCACTACCCACCTTTGATTTGCTACTGTTGGGCTTATTTCCAACAGCTACGAAGGAGTCAGCTTTGGCCCTTTGCACACCCACATTTTCAGTATCATATAAGTTAGGTTCGGAATCCATTTAATCCGTTTAAGCACGATGTAAATGTGTAACATGCCCATATTTTGGCTAACAATGTTGCATGCTCTGCCCGATGGTAGAGGAAGAGAAATATATCAGGGATCCCCATGGATCATACTGGTATCATACTGTCCGTAAGCCCACAAGCAGTACCCCATTCTTCTATAGTGAAATTTGAAATAGAGCGTACATTTTTACCATAGCGAAACGCGAGGTCGGCCATGTTCTGATTCTGACTCAGGAATTACAAATTTGACCTTAGAGCGTGTTCCTACGACCTCCTATCAGAATCACCTCGTATCAGGAATGTCTCGCTCCCCTGTAAATTGACAATCTCGCTAAAACCTCTTATCAGTAAAACTTACCGGTTAACACAGCTGCGCGACTCAAAACTATAGCTGAGGTGGCACCATGCGACCCAACCATGTGCGCTCTGTGCACAATCTCGTCCGCGGTGCGCCTCGTGAGACATCAACATTTCACCACGTCAGCTTTGCTTTTGCATGGTTTGGCAACGTTCGATGAACGTGCGTGGCATTGCTTTTTGGCGCGTGGCGCACATTTCGCAAATTTCATTGCCATGTGTGCAGGTTCTGCACGTTTGGACGTTTGATCGTCCGATGGGACGGTCGGACCGGGAAATGAGGACGTCAGAGCGATGTTATGCGAGCATTTTCATTGGTGCGCGCCCAAAGTACATTTCTGATACGAGGTGTTCTATAACGTGGAAGTCCCGAAAATACATTCTTGATACGAGGTGATTCTGATAGGAGGTCGTAGGAACACGCTCTTAGCAGACATTCTTCATAACGTGGCTTCCCGAACAATGGTTGCTGAAGTAGGAACCTTTGCAACATCCACACTCATTATGACAACCCCATTTCAAGATATGTGAGAATTATTCCAAGTATTTTCAAATGTTTCTGTTTTATAAGATTTATAAGACACCCATAAAGTTCCATTTACAAGATAGCTTTATGAGATAAAGACTTATACCGGTATGTGTACTATCCGGGCGATGACAGTAGTAGTAGGGTAAGAAAGTTGCCAGCGTGTGTCAATTAACAGTCATCATACAGTAAGTAACATAACATCACAATGCACTGTATTAATTTTGAGGCTCCAATAAGTGATGATGAACTACCATGAAACATGCTAGTGCAACAGTGCTTGACAAGGAACAGCAACCTGATAAACCACCCCTAATCTTCGTGACCCCAGGCACCTAAAACAACACTCCTTTTGCAAATTCCATTATTGCACGTAAACCGTATTCCTTTCCTTTCCTCAACTGGTCTACATCTTCCCCTTGGCAATCTTGGACCACTCAGTGTGGTAGTTGCCGCCAACGTCCACACGCTCGTACGTGTGCGCACCGAAGTAGTCGCGCTGCGCTTGCACCAGGTTGGCAGGCAGTCGGGCACGGCGGTAGCTGTCAAAGTAGGCCAGGCTGTAAGGGGAGGGGAAGGGAGATGGGGCACGGGGACACGTGGGAGGAGTGAGATACAGGGCAAGCATGACAAGATTCGTTTGAGGCGATAGCTGTCGAAATAGGCCAAGGGAGTGAGCGAAAACACGAGGGGATGTTTCAGGCGCCTTAGAAGTCGCGCCGCACTTGCACCAGGCTCGCAGGCAGGCGGTAGCGGTCGGAATATGCCAGGCCGCAGCAAGGGGGGGTTGAATCTGGATGAATGCAGCAAGGTCAAAACAATCCTCTCCCACTCGAATCTCTCTCAACCTGCCCATTCTCGCCCTCAGCCCATCTCTCCCCTCACCTTGTCCTTATGCCTGGAGCGGTAATTACAGCCTGGATCGCCAGAGTCACCACACACGGCCACGCCTGCTGCCTCTCCACCACTTTCTTTTGAATCACCTTAGCAATTGATTTCTCTCCCACTCGTGAGACCCCCTCACCTGGTGCTCATGCCGGGGGCGGTGATCCCAGCCTGAATCGTCAGGGTCACCACGCGGCGCCACGCCTGCTGCCGCTCCACCACCTCCTTGGCAAATTTTGAATCCACCAGCAGATTCGCCAGAGTGGGGTTTTGGTCATACGCCTGCTTGATGCGATTCTAGAAACACCCTTCCCACACACTGTCTCTCATTCTGACCTTTCTCTTCCCTCACCCCAACTCTCCCTCCAACCCATCTCACAGCTCACCTGGTGCTCATGCCCGGGGCAGTGATCCCAGCCTGGATCGCCAGGGTCACCACGCGGCGCCACGCCTGCTGCCGCTCCACCACCTCCTTGGCGAACTCAGAATCCACCAGCAGATTCGCCAGATCAGGGTTCCGGTCATACGCCTGCTTGATGCGATCCAGAAACACTGCCCGAATGATACACCCGCCCTTCCAGATCCTCGCCAGCTCGCCCAAGTTCAACCCCCAGCCCTGCTCCGTGCTCTTAGCGCGGATGAGGTTCATCCCCTGCGCGTAACTGCAGACCTTGGACGCGTACAGAGCCTTCCTAACGTCGTCGACAAGCTGGGCTTTATCCACTCCTGAGACAGCCCCTGCCCCGTCCGAAAGCCCGGCTGCGGCGAATACCGCAGAGGCCGCCACCCGCTCGTCTTTCAGGCCGGAGATGTAGCGTGAGTCGAGGGAAGCAGCGATGGTGGGAGCGGCGATCGAGAGCTCTGCTGCCTGCTGGACCGTCCATTTGCCCGTGCCCTTCATGCCGGTCTTGTCGAGGATTGCATCGACCAGGAACTTGGTTTCGCCGGGCGCTGCGCGGTCGTCCTTGACTGCGAAGATGTCGGCGGTGATCTCCACCAGAAAGCTCTCGAGCTCGTTCTTGTTCCAGCTCGTGAACACGGAATGGAGCTCCTCGTTGGACAGGCCACCCACGTTCTTCAGGATGTCATAGCTGGGATGTGGTAAGGAAGGAGAAACGGGGGAGTGGGGGCAGAGGGGAATGGGGGAAGGAGGGATTGGAGGAAGGGGGGAAAGCGGGGATTAGGGGAATGGGAGTGAGAAGGAAGTTCACTAGTTAACAACGCAGCTACTGGAATTTCTTTGCAGCCCATACAATTCCAAACAAGTACCCAAAAATGTGCACAGCCATTTTCCATAACTTTCACGTTGAGCTGCAACTGCCGGTGGTCGTTCTGGTTGCGAACAAACCTCACAGCAGCTATTGCCACATTCTGCCCAAATCGCAATTCCCCAACATTGGCACAATCCCAACAACGTGCCAACACCAATCAAACCTCAAACCCCAACAACCCTAGATTAATACGAGCTCACTGTCGCTGTATTTGATCTCTTTGTGTACCACTTTCATAATGTTCACCGCTTCAGCAGTCCCAACGAGCACAACGCACATCCCATCGTCCGTCGTCCGCCTAACCGTTCCCATCGCAACCAACCCCACCCAACACCAGGCACTCACGCTTCCGAGATGAGCTGCATGTCGCCGTACTCAATCCCGTTGTGCACCATCTTCACGAAGTTCCCAGCGCCACCCTTGCCCACGAACGTCACGCACGGCCCGTCGTCCACCTGAGCCGCCACCTTCTTTACCACGTCCTCCACTATCGCGTATGCCTCCTTAGACCCCCCCGGCATGAGCGACGGCCCGAACCGAGCGCCCTCCTCGCCGCCTGACACGCCCATGCCCAGGTAGAGAAGACCCTTGGCCTTCGCCTCCGCCTCTCTGCGCTCCGTGTTCTCATACCTACGACCAGAAACAAGGCGGAAAGGCGGGAAAAAGGAAGGGAGAACGAACGAAAGTAGCGTTTGAGGAGGGGGTGGATAGTATCTATCGCGTGTATGTCTGGCCCCAGGTTGTGCAAAGACTTCTGTTTTTTCTTGTTTAAAATCTGCGTTATAATTATTGAGGCGAAGTTACCTAGATACTCCAGCTGTAGTCAACTCATGGCGATCTCACGAGGGGAAAAATCACACAAAGACTACAAGAAATCAACCCAGACAATGTCTCACCATTCGTTCCCGCCGTCGATGATGACGTCACCCGGCTCCAAGTACTCCGAGAGCACCTTGATCGTGTCATCCACGGGCTTGCCGGCCTTCACCAAAATGATAATCGCTCTGGGCCGTTGGATCGACTGCACGAAGTCCTTCACGTCGTGGAAGCCGCGCAGAGGCAGGTCGCCCTCCGCCTTGGCGCGAACGACGGTGTCGTCCACCTTGCTGGCCGTGCGGTTGTACACGGAGATGGGGAAACCTTTCTCGGCGATGTTCAGGGCGAGGTTCTGCAGGCAGGGAGGGAAGACGGACGGAAGACGATACGCTGCCATGATAAATGATCTGTACCGTCCATCTTGGTTGCTGTGCGGTTGTACACGAAGATGGGAAAACCCTTTTCGGCGATGTTCCGCGAGGAGGAAAATCATGGAGGCTATGCGTGAAGCTCACGTATGTGCAGGATATTGGAACCAGAAACTTCTTGCGGTTACGAATGTCATGACGAATGTACATTCCCAGCAACGTTACCTGTCCCATGACCGCCAAACCAGCGAGGCCGATACGTGAAAGGCCTGTGGAAGACGCCATTCTGCAGGAAAAGTACGGAACATTGGATGAGACTCGCGGGAAGAGTCAGCGACATAACGAAGAAGCACAGAGCATGCATCAACAAACTGCAGTTTCAGTTGCGTACGCCAGTTACGCTAGCTTGGCAAAAAAGACAGCATTAACAATAATATTTCAATTTTCCGTTGCCGTCTTATAGTCTTGGCCTGCGAAACGAGTGATACAAATATTCGTTGTGACTTACTTGGAACTCTGAGCTGCGTCTGCGACAGTCGCCCGAACAATGCTGCTAGATTGTTGACGCTTTTCTTGGAAAGCTTCTGCAAGAAAATATTATTATAAC